CACATCCATCCATGGGAATAGGGAATACAATGCCTTGTATGATTCTGAGTTGTATGTCTTTGCCTTTTAGGATCTTTTCCGGTTCTTTCATAACTCCCTCCCCATTCTTAGTCTTCTTCTGATTTAACCTAAATACTCCCTAATTAATAAACTTTTCTTCATAATAGGGTGGACACAGTCCTTTGAGAGTTTTGGTTGTCCCTTTCAGCCCCCTTTTCCAGCTTTGCTAATATTCCTTCCAAGGTATTATTTCCAATCACAATAAAATTTATTTTTTATTTTTATTTTATTTTTATTTTTTTATTTTTTTGTTTCTTTCCTAATGATGGGAAACCAAACAATGCCAGGGCTGTAGGCTATATTTCAGAGGAAAAAAAGCAATGGCAAACCATCTCTTGAGTATTCCTTGACTGAAAAAAAACCCCATGAAATGCATGGAGTGGCTGTAAGTTAACAGATGGTTTTAAGACACAAGCGTTTCCAGCCAAACAGCAAAGAATCTTGTGCTACCTTTAAGGCTAAATAGATTCATTTTACCACGAAGTACCATTTTACTCCACATTCTCTCAAATGCATTGATTTTCTTCCTATCTTCCTTGACTGTCCAGCTCTCACATCCATCCATGGGAATAGGGAATACGATGGCTTGCATGATTCTGACATTTGTGCTGAGTTGTATATCTTTGCATTTTAGGATCTTTTCTAGTTCTTTCATAGCCTTGTTACCTTCTAACCTTCTTACCCACTCCTTAACTTTCTCTTCCTCTCATATGCCCACTTCTCACTTTTCTAACCTTCTTCTGCCTCCTCTTTATCTTAGAATGAATGGATTAAGAACTGAAGGTTGGTGTTGGTGTACGAAGGTTGCAGAAAGTGTAAGGAGGGTAAGGAGGAGTAAGAGAAGAGGGACTTCTGTTGAGTGGCACCCAGCACCCAGTTGAATGTCCTCAGCAGAGAAGGCTATGGACTGAAGCATTTGAACATTTTCATTGGATCAAGCGCACTAAACTCTGATTTCTAATTGTGCTCTTGCCTGCTGGTGCTTTAATGTATATTTTTGCAAACAGGGGACGTTATCACATGGGGCAAATCTGCTGGTTAATCCACACAAATC